GAGAGAGAGAGAGAGAGAGAGATTAAGAGAGACATCAAACGGAATAATATGAATGAAACAGCAGAACCACATTGCTCTATCATTACACTACAGATTAAACGGTACACATTAAGAAGAAGGTACATAGATACACCAATATCAATAATAACACAACCAATGAATCAGTAGATACACAGCAACATACTAAAAAAAAAAAGGTATTTCATCACCACAAATCATCCCCCAGAGGTTTCTATTACCGAAGAGAGCAAAGAAAAAGAAAAAAAAAAAAAAAAAAAAAAAAAAAAACATGATTGAAAAAAAAAAAAAGAAAATTCATTGAGGAAGAACAAAAATGAAATAAAGAAAAAAAGAAAGATCCGTAGTAGACCCTCCAACAACAATAAAAAGAAAACAAAAAAAAGAAAAAGAAAACATACATGCCATTCATACCTTCTCATGCAAAGACATAAACACCACAATCAAGTACAAACCAAATACACATATAATAAGAGAATTATTACAATGTGAAAAAGGCATCTGTACCTTTTTTTTTTAAAGTATATGTCTATTGCACACACGCAGCGTTTGCTGCAGATATATGTATAAGAGAAGAAAAAAGGTGATGAATGAAAAAGAACAAAAACAAACAAACAAAGAAAAAAAAAAAAGAAAAGAACTCTATAAATATGCATGTATATACATATATATACTAGCTTGTAATGTGTGCATGTGTAGTAAAACGAAAAAAAAGGATGTATACTACTCATCGCTTAGTGTCCGTATAATGATGTTAAGTTTCTTTCTTTTTGAAGAAGTCACCCATATTCTTCAATGATTCGTATTATTCTCCATCTTGATTTCGTATACTTTTTCTCCACCTCAAATGGAACCTCTTTTTCTCTCTTTTTTACTCATTCCCTCCTAGTTATCAGCTGTGTTCATGTATAAAAAAGAAACAGCTCATACAATGCAGGTAGGAAATGAGAGAGAGAGAGAGAGAGAGATTAAGAGAGACATCAAACGGAATAATATGAATGAAACAGCAGAACCACATTGCTCTATCATTACACTACAGATTAAACGGTACACATTAAGAAGAAGGTACATAGATACACCAATATCAATAATAACACAACCAATGAATCAGTAGATACACAGCAACATACTAAAAAAAAAAAGGTATTTCATCACCACAAATCATCCCCCAGAGGTTTCTATTACCGAAGAGAGCAAAGAAAAAAAAAAAAAAAACAACAACAACATCGTACAAAGACAGAGACACGCCTCCCAGAGACTTAAATTAAAAGGAAGAAACAAGAAACAAAAAAAGAAAGGGAATACTGCACTAGAAATAGATTAGAGTATCACTACCTTCTTTTGTTTTTCTTTCCTGTTGTCACTGTTGAGGACGTAGATGACTTTTTACTATTCTTTTTTGCCGCTGCTGCTTTTCGTTTTGCATTACTATTACTACTACTTGTATTCATGGTAGTAGCAGCACTGGATGCCTTTTTCCGTCCTGTTGACGTTGAAACACTCTGTTTCTTTGCTTTACCACGTTGTGGCTTTGATCGCTGTTGACGTGATGATGGCCGACTATTCCTGCTGTTGCTGTTGCTGCTAGTAGTAGTAGTAGTAGTAGTTTTCTTTTTATTACTCTCTGCTGCCTTTTTTCTTTCACTACCTCCTCCACTCGCATGGACTTCCTTCACTACTTCCTTTTCCTTCAGATTGGGCGCCTGCTCATGTTCCTGCTCTTCTTCATCTTCGTCATTACTCAGCGAAACAAAAGCGCCTCCATTTGTGGTTTGCTGTGGGACTGCCCCGGAAAGTGTAGTGGTGACGATGACGTTATCATCTCCTCTATTCCCCTGCTGCTCTGCGGCTGGTGGTGTGATGATATCATGCAACCAAGCGAGGGCATCCTCGTAGTGTGCCTTTGAAATATTTGTATCTGGCACTGGTATGCTATTATTAATCGCATCCTCTGCGGCGATATCGGCGAGTAGTGCCTCCTGTGCGGTATCGTGTGTGCGTTGCTCCTCTGCGCTGCGGTGGACGGGGTCTGCGAGGGCGTCGTTGAGGAGCGCCTCCAACATCTCCGCCGACTCCTGCAGGTGTTCCGCATCGGCGCAGACCGCCACGCCGCCGCCGCCGGCCTCCCGCGCGAGTGCCGCCTCCCGCCGCATCTCCTCCGCCTCCGCCCCGCCGCCGCCGCCCCGCTCGCCGCGCTCGGCCCGCTCCGCCTCCAACATCTCCGCCTCGCCCGCCTCGAGCAGATCGAGCAGCAGGGCGTCGGGCGAGACGAGCTCCGCCGCGTACGCCGGCAGCACCGTCGCGTCCGGCACGAGTTGCGTGAGTGTCGTCGAGAGAAGCGACTCGAGTTCCTGCGAGGAGGCCACCACGTCCTGGTGGACATACACGTGATGGGCACTCTCCAGCTCATCCAGCAGGTCATTCAGGGTGCGGAACTCTTTACTGATACCAAGCACATCCTGTAAGGCACGAAGACGGTCAATCACATCATCCTCAAAGACAGCGCTAAGATCAAGAAAGTATGGGACTACAGATGTAGGTGGGGAGGCAAATACATCATCCGTCGCCATAGAGGATGAGGAACCAACTCCCGAAACTGCATTCATCACATTTCCACTACTTCCACCGCCACAAACTCCAATTCCACATCCTCCTCCATTAGTTGAGGTAAAGGATATAGATTGATCAATAGAAACCACACTAACGTAGTGAATTTGACGAATTCTATTCTGTGGTAAAACATTTTTTCCTAAACAATGTAATACCCCCAAAAGGGCTTCAGCGAAGCGATAACTGATATCTTTTAATGCCTCAGGAGTTGTAACAAGATCATATAAAGCTAATGTTGTACCTGCAATAGAAACCACATCACATCCTCCATTAAGTCCAACACTTGGACGGAATGGGAAATGTGTCTGTTCTGTTTGAGCAAAAAATGTCTTATAGGCGGCTAAAGCTTTACGTACAGTTTCAGGTGTAGCCTTTGTTACTAAAGGCTCTGCGCCCCCCTTTTGCTTTATGCGTGTTGGTGAGGCAAGTAATGGGAAACCATACGGTGGTATTTTAAGATTAAGATCCATTTGTGCTCCAGAAACAGCTACCACACGAAGTAGTAAAGCACCATGAAGAAGTACACGAAGGGCATCACGTTTCCGTTCATTACTTGTACCCATTGTATTTACAACAGCACAATACTCTGCCCATACTTCACCCCAAGCACGTACTACTGTTGCTTCTTTTGGTGATTCCAATGGATCTTGATGGGTAAAAATAGTAAAAAGTGCAAAAGGGTGTACTTGACAAGTGGTATTATTATAAGGAACAATAAGTCCATCTCGTTCATCCTGTAAAGTTGTATCTACACCAGTCGTAAGATATCCTGTTGGACTGCTTAATTGTCGTTGTAACAATTCCACCAATCGTAAACGTGCTTCTGGTAAATTTTGAAGCAAAAAATTACGTTGTGGAAGTTCAGCAAATAATTCTGTTGGGACATTACTACGAAAAAGTGGATGTGTATTACTCCATTGCATAAGACGAGGGGCTCCACCCCGGAGATCCATTAAAGCAGCTCTTCCAGACCAAAATACCTCAAGTGTATATCCAAGAAGACCAGGACAATTCTTTAGAACTTCATACATAAGTCCTGAAAACTCAAGACGTGAACGTTGATGTAGTGCATATAAAACAGATATTAAAGGTAAAACACGTAGACGTTGTTGTAAACCAATACCATTAGCAAGAGGAATAAAATATCGTCTAACAGGAGTATCTGCATGTGTAAGAAACATCTTACTTACACGGTGTCCAGTAAAAACCATATCTAATTGTCCAACGGCAACTGTTATTCTAGCCAAAGCTGCTTCTACCATATCTGGATGAAATGGTACATATGGTTTATATTGTGTCATGGATGTCAATAATGATGGAGATGAGTTATTACCTAATATCTTTTTATCATGATATCTCTTCTCATGATTATGACCAGTATTAGTAGAAGTAGTACCAACTTCATGGGTTTCATCTCCTGTAATATTAGAGTATGAAGGAAGAGGATGAACATTATTTGCCCCATTTAATATACCATTTACAGAAAAAGTTGCATGAACAAATCTATTTTCCATAGCATCCAAAACACGATCTATATCATCTACAAGAATTGCATGTAAAGATGATGGTTCACCTTCTTTTTGATTAGGAAGACGAATACACTTTTGATATTGTTCCCAAGACCAATTTAACCTATTCGCCCACCACATCACAGACTTTGGGGCACGTGTAAAAAGTTCTTCTGTACGTACAAGATAAGGACAAGATGATAATGCCACCCGAAACCAAAATCTAGCTGGAAAAGCAAGTGGATGATCATCTAATCCTGGTGTAAATGGTGTTGCTGTTCCACTGTAACGTACAGTAACGGTATTTCGTCCACTTTCATTCATACGTTTAGAAAGACGTTGTAACATGGAAGATTTACCACCAGAATGACCAGCTTCAATAAAATGTATCGGTTTGGATATAGAAGAGGAATTATAATAACAATTTAATACAGAGATTAAACGATCTTCCACAAGTTTTGCAGTTCCTAAAAGTTGATGAAGACCAAGTGCCTCTACGGCATTAAATCCATTACGAAAATCATCTGCTCTCTTAATAGTTTCAAAAATACTCGTACGGGCAACACGAGTTGTATGCCTTTTCAAACGATGTAATACTGAAAAATATTCATTCTGTAGTGGATCGTTTGTATTTCCTCCACTTCCTCCTCCTCCTCCTCCTCCTCCTAAGGAAGATGGTGGGGGTTGTGGAAATCCAGGCCATTCACCTAATGTAATATTACAATTTCCCGTCCCCGCAAGAAATATTCCACTTACTAACGCTGGTGCGGTTACATTCAGCGTGGCCCCACCACTACTATTATTACTATTAATATTACTACTACCATTACCACCACCGGATGTGGTTGTGGTAGCACCAGAAGTATTATTATAAGGGAATAATTCAAATTCTTGTCTTTCCAATTCATCTTCTTCACGTTCACCAGTACTATGAAAGACAAAGTATCTCACGGGTATACTTTGAAGTTGAAGAACAGAGGAGGCTTGTCGAAGTAATCCTGGAAGTCGTTCTAATGCCAAAAATCCATAATCCCGTAATGAATGTAATTCCTGTGGCATATTAGGTGATTGAGCTTCTAATACTCTTAACATCGCATCACTAAGTGTGGTATAGGCTTTTTCACGAATCTCTGCTTCTGCTTGGCTATCCAGCTGTATTTTTGTCGCATTGTTATTTCCTTGATCTGCCTGTCTCTGGGCTATATACTCTTTTCGAACACTTGCCAATACTTTCCTTGCAAGACGGTGATAATGTTCAAGCGTACAAACTTCTCCTGGTCTTATATTCGGTGATGCATTGGAGTTCATAGCGGCTATCGCCGGCTGATCCATTCCATTCTCATTCATTCCTGTCATTGATACCGTTGATGATGAAGAGGATGAGGATGATGTTGATGTTGTTGTTGATGATGATGATGTACCATTTATGCCAGAAGCATCTCGTTGGGCTGTTGCTTGTTCCATTGAAATACGTAATGTATCAAGGACAAACTTTCCAATTGTATCTGCAGCCCATGATATCAATGTATCTTCTAATAAAATACTTTTATTGACTACTTTTGCTACCTCCACAACATAAGCCTCAACACTTTTTTCTACGGCAGCATCTAACAAACTTCTCGTATAGGATGAAACCTTTACAAGATCTGGTTGTTCTGCCCATTGATAAAGAGTTGAAATACCAGCCTGTTGGAGTGCTCGTAAATCATAATAAGGTGATTCCAATCCTAGGCGAGCGACTTGTTTATAATGTGTACTATCAATAAGCCAATCATGCCAAATCTTTTTACCTCCAAGTGCCGCCAGTTGTCTTTTTGGTTGCATAGCTGCAAAATCACTGAGGGAAACATTTTCAACACCCTCTGCTTGAGGATCTATGAGGAGACGCACCACATTTGGCAACATCTCCGCTGCGAGAGAGTTATCAATTTTCATAATATCACCAATGCGTGTGTCTAATGTTGGGCCAGCAAGTACCGGCATAAGACGCACTGCGGTAGTACGCAAAAGACCACTTTGTGAAGCCATACTTGGCAGTACACCCATTCTTCTCATTACAACATCTTTAGGAGTATTTGTAGAAGAAGAAGGTGTATAATTGGCAGCGGTAGTAGTGGTAAACCGCCCTGCCACTTCACTGCTTTTTAGAATAGCATTCAACTTTACAGTGTCAAGAAACGATAAGACAGATAGTCTCGTTAATTCTCCCTTTGTTCTTTTCATTGTTTTTGTTGTTGGTAGTGTTGTTGTCTTTGGTGTTATCTCTGTATTTAATAATATCGACTTGTGAAGTCCCCTTAATTTGGGTGAATAGAGACCATTAGAGTGTGTGGGTGAACACTCATGAAAGGCCTCAGAGTACTGCGTGTACCGCTTGCTTACTTCAGCGAACTGGAGTGCGGTTGAGGGGAGCGCCGGTACAACAATGCGGCGCCGCAGCATTTCTATCCTCTATGCTTACTATGCTTTTCTTATAAATAAATATATATGTAGATATAGATATCTATATATCTATATATATATATATATAT